TATATAACGTTTCTGCAGAATAAAACTCTGCGCAGTTTTTAAATTGAACGTTCTGTGTTCCCTTTAGGCATTTTTTCGGTACGTTTAAAAGCCAGACGAAGGCTGACAGAGTAGCTGCTTGTTTATTATAAAATTTAAAAAGGAGAAATGTAAAGCTATATGTTATAAACCTTTTTACAAAGTAAAATCTAAAATATTTGATTCACTAAAACGGCAACATGCCCAATCTGTTCTAAAATAAAGCGTAATGTTTCATATGATAAAAATAACAGAAAATTTACCTTGACTGTATAAAGCAATTAAGCTAAATAAAATGAATTTATCTAATAAGAAACGTCAAAAATTTTGTAATTATGCGTGAAATTATGCAAACATATTTTGTTGGGAATAATCTAGGGGATTGTAAAAAACTTCGCAATATTTAAGTATTTTTGTGAAAAGCATAAATCCTCTAGTTATCTATTCTAAACTGTAATAAGTAACGAAATCGTTTCTCTTGAAAATACATTTTATCTCATTAAACTTTCTTCTAATAACAATAAATTGTTCGAAATTATCAAAGGAATATTTATTTTAAGAAATGGATAATAATTCTCGAACTTCATACAGAACCGATAATTTTTTTCAAAAAAATATCCTTATTAAAATTCTAAACAAAGACTAAATGATATTTTAGAATACGAATATCTACTGAGAACACACGTATACACATACATAACACTCCCTGCAGACTTTGCGTCCGACAGTTCATTTCTCCTGTCTCCTTTACCCCCCCCCCTCTAACCCTGGGGATGTTGTTTCGACTTCATTTAGCGCAACGAATGCATCAGCGTTGCACGTTCACCGCTTCAATAAACTGCGAATAGACATGAAATACAAGGTCATTTATTCATCATGTCGAAGCCATTTTAGGCCACGTGTCAAGAGTTATGTTTTCGCTTAATGTCTGAATGCGAATGTGAATATGCGAAAAAAACTATAATACTTTCAGATCCCACTTATACAAAGAAATGATAAAAAAGTTATTTAAAATATAAATAACACTGCTTGCAAACTCACCTATAAAACCTTTTTACATTAAAAATTCAAGACAATAAAAATTTAAAATAATAATCTCAGTAAATGCAAGATATAAATTGAACAATTATAATAAGAAAAGAAAGCAAAAGCAACGAAATAAAATGTGTACTTATTTTTCCTTCCGTGTTTAATTTTAATATCGTATCGGGTTGCCAAAATTAGAAATCATAATGCAAACAGAAATATCAAGCACAGCAAACGATTTCTCTTTGTTTTGAAACTGATCTGATCCTGAGAATCTTATTTATATTATGAAAGAATTTCTATTTCTGATAAAAAGTATTAAATGGCGAAATTGAAATAAATATATACGTTTATTACTTAATTATTTTGTTATATAATGTAATTCTAAAATTCAATACTTTCTATTTATTCAGGATAATATATTTTTTAACTTAAATTTCAAGCCAGAGACAATTGCATATAGAACACAGAGTTGCAAAACGATTTTTATTATAATCCTCGCCACTTATTACTCTTTCTTTATTTTAGATTTTTATTTGTTGCGAACAAATTATGAGTTCTTATTTTCTTATTACATACTTTGAAATGTATTTTTTGTTAATATTATTTTAAATTAGCTTCCTATTGTCATTGACAACATTTATACTTCATAGCAGCATAACACGCTGATTTCCCATTTACCATTTGTCCTTTTCGTATTTTTCAACTCATTATCGTTTTTACTTCTTTGTAAAGGAAGTATTGTAATCGCAAAAAATTTTGGGTGTCGTATTTTCACTCTGACCGCTCTCTATTCCATCTGAAAGACCCTTTTGCTTTACATTTGTATGTACGGACAGAATAAAAGACTCTTTTCCAAAAATGAATTGTGAAATGGATTTAAAATGGATTTGGAAGAGAATTTTCGTGACACCTGTACGTACGTGCATACGTACACACATATGTATGTATCTCGCATAACTCAAAAAACGAGTAACTTCAGAACTTGTTTATGTGAACCCCTTTTTTTGTTTGCAATCGGCCGCACCAAATGTATATAAATAATACCCACTCTGTTACCCGGCTCAGAGAGCTAAGTTTATTTTTATTCTTATATGTTGGTAAATTGCGCATTTTTTGTTTTAAAATTGATCGAGTTACAATGTTCTTATGTTCCTGTTAAAGTTTTTATGCCTTTAGTTAATCTGCATGCAATAGTTATGGAATTATCAAACAATTTAAAAGTTGTTTAAGTTTTCCACTAAGCCTAACGACACCGCCGTTTGTTTACATTTGGAACTTATCAGCATAGTGAATTAACTCAATTTCTGCACCCACTTTAGTGACGTTGTGGAGATTGGGGCCAAAAATTTTTTGCATCGAAAAATCTGTCTTTTAGACTAATTTTAATTGTCAAATTTGTTTTCTAACGGTTTTTAACTCTGTTTGCTGTTTTAGTTTTTCTGCATTTTACAATTTTTTATAAACATGTTTCGATTTTTTATGTATTTTCCCCTTGCCTCGAAGTGAGAACTGAATTGATTGATTGAGAAATACATTAATGAAATTCGGGCCAATACGTTTAAATGAAATGCAGCAAAAAATATGCATAATTTAATTGGATGTACATTGAAGTCATGTGGCGTTCATATCAGATGTTTCATATTACAATTTCGTATATTTCATATTACAATTTCGTATATTTTCATGTTTTTTTCATATCGTTTGCGCGTACTTAATTCCTTAAACTAGCATTTACGTCTATTATTCACAGTTATTCATACATTTAGCCTGTTATAGTGATATGGGTACCATATTTATTCAAAAATAATGGGCTTCGTTTTCCTACAGAAAAGTTACTAAAAATGGTATATTTCTCAGAAACGAGGGCATCTTCAAACTTCAGATTTTTTTTTTCGATTATTAATTATTCCAATGTTTTACCGAATTATGCATCTTAATAGAAACACTATTATTGCTAGTAATTAAAAACCAAATATGAAAACTCTTTCGCTATCTTCTTAGCAAGCACATTTTTGTATCTATTAACAATACTGAAATTAAAGGTTTTTGTCTTAGAATCAAAGAAATACATGATTATATTATGTCCCTAAAGTTTTAGTCTAGAAGGGCTATTAATCTCAATGCCTACTTTTTTGCCGAATCACTTTTGTTGCCAGTTTCACTTTTCAAATACTAGCCGGAGAAAATAATTCTTATGAAGAAGAAAATAAACATTTTAATGAGTTTATCTAGTATAATTTTGCAGGTAATAATTAATAAAAATGGAAAGAAAGATTAAATTTGAAAAAAAGAGTACCTTATACTTCTACAGATGACAACAAACTGGTTCGTCAAAGATAAAAGTATTTCATATCAGGCAGTGGCAAAACATTTCTTTTAAATATCTGAATCCTTTTATTAAATTTAAAAGACAAATATTTTGCGCTTTGTTGAGTGGCAACACATTTTTTTTTAAAACGTCGAGTTTTCTGATTAAATTTGAAATATACCTTACGCCTTGCGAAGTGGCAACACATTGCTTTTAAATCGTCGAGTTTAATCAAAATGCCATTCATACCGCACAAAATATGCAATAAATAAAAAAACACATTTAAAATTCTGGCTTCGGTTCACATGTTCGGGTGGAGGATTTATATGTGTTCGAAACTTGATGGTTCGTTTTTCCAAAATGCGAGTAATGCACGTATACCGTAGGAAAAAAATGGGACAGTTCCATATCTCCTGTTCTACCGGGCCTAATGACAGAATTCAAATTGCGTTTTTCGAGTCTCGAAAGCGCGACTTAAATAATGTATTATAATTATATATAGCATTGTTCTAGTATAGGTATTTTGAGACAAAATCAGACTTTTCCTGAAATGACATATCCATTTTTTTCCATACTTCGAGTCTATAATTCAAATTATGCCTAGATATTAAATTTTGTAATTTTTGGTTTAGAAATTTATGGACAACTTTAAACATTTATCTTGGCGTATTTTGTTCAGTTTGCGCCAAGAATAATCCATTCGGCGAACTTCTTAAGTTATAGCAACCTATTTTACTTTCCTTATTCTTCATTGTCCACGAGCGGAAAAAAAGTCATCGTTTCTACTTTTAAATAATTTTTAAAAAGTGCGTAAACAACAGTTTCGTTATTATAGCTTATATTAAATACTCCAAATTTTAAAACGCGCCAAGATGTAAATTAGCGTATATCTTAAGAAATTTAGAATAAAAAGCCGTAATTTTTTGTAGGTATGCTTAGAAATGCATCTACCTTAAGATGATGGCAAAACTTTTATATACTTGTTTGAAAAAAATTTATAAAAAATTTTTTAAATACAAATTTTAAAAATAAATCATAAACAATAGACGAATTTTATTTGGAATGTATCTAAATTTCCAAATATGAAAGGAAGAATCAAAAAAGTTTAATAAATAAAGAAATATTATTAAATATATATCAAATTCAATCAACATTGAGGAGCTAAAATTTTGATAGCTAATTCTTTAAAATCTAATCTTGCGATTTTTACAAAACTTACCAATTTGGCATAATTTGAGTCGTAGAATCGAAATATGGAAACAATTGGCATGTCATTTCAGAAAAATTCCAATTTTGTGTCAAAATACCTGCATCAGAACAATACTATATATAAATCTAATACATATCCTAAGTCAGTCATTAAAAAAGGCCTCTGTGCATGACATTAGAATTTGAAATTTTCCAGATTTTCAATATACTTCTATTTATGCATACGCAGTAAAGATTCAAATAAAAAATCATAAAATTAAAATATACATTTCATATACTTCTCATCTGAATTTACGAGATATGATAATTCTCATCTGAATTACGTATATTTTGAGTTTTTACTCAAAAATAACATGTTTAAAATATTTTTACTTATTTAACATGTTAATAATATCATTGCTTGAAGACAACGTTAAAATACTTTTTTTTCTTGCAG